ATTCTCTAGACAGTAGTGTGGCATGTCATCTTGTGATATTTCAGTCTTTAGAAATGGACATTGTATTTTCTAGACAGTAGTGTGGCGTGTCATCTTGTGATATTTCAGTCTTTAGAAATGGACATTGTATTTTCTAGACAGTAGTGTGGCGTGTCATCTTGTGATATTTCAGTCTTTAGAAATGGACATTGTATTTTCTAGACAGTAGTGTGGCGTGTCATCTTGTGATATTTCAGTCTTTAGAAATGGACATTGTATTTTCTAGACAGTAGTGTGGCGTGTCATCTTGTGATATTTCAGTCTTTAGAAATGGACATTGTATTTTGTTGCTTTTAAGGCTAAAGAACTGAATTTGGAAAGAAGCCCAAATGACCTTCTAGATTGAATTTTGTTTCAAAATTCCTATTTTTGAAGACCCTCTATTTTTGTCTTTTCTTCTTAATAAATTGAAATCGAAAATAAACGAAATATTCATGACAAATGAAAATTTGTGAGTTTTGAAAAAATCCTTTTTGAAATGCGTATATGAAGCGCATCTTTCTAATCGAACAACATGAAAAAAATAATGTTTCTCGAAATTTTTGAAAAATACCAAGGATATAAACCTTGGTAATTTTCACGAAAAAAAAAATTGAACACGCAAAAAAATGCGTATTTTCATGAAATTGTAATCTCCGATTGTGTTTATTTCTTAGAAAAACATTAGATCTTTCAACAAAAATATCATATCGCTTTCAAAGCTTAAAAAGAAATTCTTTAGACCAGAATGAAAAGACTAAAAATGGGGGTAGGGGGGGGTGTTAATGGCATTGTAGATTTCGAAATTGTGATTAAAAATACATATTTTTCGAAGCCTTTTTTTGTTAAAATTCCCAAGGCTTAAGCCTTAGTATTTTAACCAAAATTATGGCTATCATAGATTTCATTTAACTTCTGATATAGATAGATACACTATATTTCAGCATTTAAAAACTCTTGAAGCCCGGCATGGCCAGGTGTTTAGGAGGGGCCAAGTCTGCTGAAACTGGTTCCTACACACATGAGCTGACTCAGGTTAGCAGATACTAATCCCTAAATTATGGGGCGCTCGACTCGCAATCTGAGGGTCGCGGGTTCGAATCCCCGTCACACTAAACATCCTCACCCTTTCAGCCGTGGAGGAGTTATAATGTGACGGTCAATCCCACTATTCGTTGGTAAAAGAGTAGCCCAAGAGTTGGCGGTAGGTGGTGACGACTAGCTGCCTTCCCTCTAGTCTTATGCTGCTAAATTGGGGATGGCTGGCGCAGATAGCCCTCGTGTAGGTTTGTGCGAAATTTAATACAAACAAAAAACTCTTGAGGTTAAACTTTGATATTTTCCCAATTTTCAGTTTTCTTTTGGCTTTTCAAAAATAGCAATATTTAATAAATATCTTTTTATACGTTATTTCGTTTCTTTATTTTATATCTGAAAGATGTTTGATTTGGACAAATTTTCTATTGAACTACTTCAGTTGAATATTTGATTTTTTTGTGTGTTTTTAAGATTTTAGAATTTTTTCTTAAAAATACTCGTTTTTGAAGATTTAAACAAATCATTTTCTCATAAAAATTTATTACAGAGCCCACAAGCTTGAAACAAATACATAGTTGTTGTTCAACATAATGCAAATAAATTTCAAAAACATACTTAAGGGTCTAGAACAGAGATTCTGAACGTGGGGAACACCCCCCATAGGGGAGCAATTTGAAAATGCTACAATAAGAATAATTTTACATTATATTATTATCTTTTCAACACCAAATTTGTTTTTATATTAAGGGGGCATCAAATTTTTTGAGGTGTCCAGGTGGGGCATGGAACAAAAAAGGTTAAGAACCACTGGTCTAGAAGATGGTTTCATTTAAATATAAAGATAAAAGACCCAGCTTTTAAAGTACTAAGTTGGGATATTACTAATCATATACATTTGTTATGTTTTCAATGGTCTCAAACCATTTCAATTCATCAATTAAAAGGATGAAAATACTGAGTAACTTATTGTACACAGGTAGATTAGTAGCTAATGATTTGTACAAGTTGATACACTAAGATGATATCACCATAAAAATATACACATTTAGATAGATATAATTGATAAGGAAATTATGTCTCATTGTGATCTTTTTTTTATTCAAATATCTGAATAATACAAAAATTTGTCTAAAATGTATGTAAACAGAGGCAACAATTTTACCAAAAATCTCACACACCAGTAATCTGCTGAGGACTGTGATCTGGCCAGTCACAACCACACCTTGGACACTGTGCTCGTCCTCGTCCTTGAAAGCAGCGATTGGCACAATGTCCATGCAGCTTAATTTGACAGTCTTTACAAGACTTTCCCTGTATAATTTATTATCCAATTATATGAGTTTAACTATATGCAAAAAATTACAATCATGAAAACATAGTCGCAAAATAAAATGATTTAAAAAATGTAAGTAGGCATGCATACCTGTATATAACATACAGGTAATTTATCTTAACTTTGAAGAAGTTATGATAATTCTAGTTTTATACTAACAGATATAAAGGTTGGAAATGAGTCAAATTGTAAGTTGTAACAGAAATATAATTCAGTGTAAAAACAAGCATATATTAGTTTTATTAAATACAAAAACAGGGAGAGATTACTTTTTATTTCAAGAAAATGGGAGAGGGAAATGGCGAGCAGAATATTGGGCCAACTTGTATTTTTCACACACTAAGAAAGAAAATTCTGATCTGTAAAATATTGGGACCGAGTTTGCAATCGAGTCATAAACCTATCAATGCTCTAATAAAAGTCTACTAACTACTAAAATACCAGGCATTCTCAATAAAGCATATTAATTCTAAAATAACAGTAGTGTTAACATTAAGCCTAAGGTATCTATTTCATCATTAAATCATATTTTTAGAAAATATTACAATATGAGAAACTTAATAAATAAAGTCACAAACTTCAAATTCCCCCCCCCCTTTCTTTATTTTCATTAAGACAATGATTTTTGAGTTAGTTAGATCCAAAAGTAGAATACAATAATATGTTTTCCTATCATTATGAATTATTCACAGGACTATGTGTCATCCATATTGTTTCTATTCTCTATACGAGACAATATCCATTTCTAGGGATTAGAATATCACAAAGTGTATACAAAAACTTTAAAAAATAAATTCCCTTACTCTTCCATGACTTCCAAGTTTTCCCTCACCATTCACACTATATAAACATAAATATATAAATTAATTGTAAAAAATAGAAAAAATACAGTTATACAACGTTCCATGGTTTTTGAGGTATTGGCAGAAATAAGACACAAATTGCACTGGGAGTACACTGTCTATCCAGTTTAACCTCTGTTTTGCAACCCTCACATTCTTAATAATAATAATAAAAAAGAGCAAATGTGGGTGCTCTAGCCCACATCTTTACCACATTTTGCTGTCTGCAGCCACATGTGGGAAGGTGGTTGCTCAAAAAAAAAATTAAAAATTTAAGAAGAAATAAATAATTGGAGTAGATACATCAATGGGGGAGGCAGTAAAATTGTCCTTGAAGTTGGCATTCCAGCCCCCATAATGATGTTTGGACCATGATGTTAAGGTATTACTATACTACTTTAAATGAATGATATACTAGACGTAATAGCTACCCAATACATTTGTTAGCCAAAACAGAAAGACAAAATAAAAATTCCCTAACTTGAGGCATATTTTCCCTGCCTCTATTCACCCTGTATCACAGTATAGTGTGTCATACTTAATATTTCTACTACTTATAGAATACAATGTATAATTTTATAATTAGGACATCTCAAGATAATGTGTCATCCTCGAATTTTCTTTGTCTATCATATTGTTACATCTCCGTTCGTTAGTTAATTTTCCGTAACTTCGTTCCGACGAAACTTTAGCGACACAAGTCCTTACTTAATAAAACTGGTTTATTCTTTACGATACACTTAATTTCAACAATCGCGCTAAAACAAACGCTATAACAACGAACGTGCTCAATAATACTCTCTGACTGCAGATCAATTACTCACTGTCTACACACACATTATTTATTCGTCACGTTGTCACCCTCTTTTATATACCAGGCTACCCTATATGAACTTCACCTCATAAGTCTATCTAATTCTTATTTTTAAATATGTGGTTATCCCTTTATTATTCCTTTAATCTGGTTGAGCTCAAAGACTTATTTATCTTTTGAATATTACCTTCTTGGTATATCAAGTTACTAACAACCATTGATTCCTCACGGTTTAAATAATGGTCACATTTTTCACGTTTATAACAATTCTGTTTTATTGAAATCTTTTAAGAGTTGTTATTCCCCACAGGCATTTTTCGCAGTTCCTAGCAATATGTCCTTTCAAATTATTTAAAACTCATACTATCTTGTGGTTTATTTTCTCAATTCTATGTAACAAGTTGTCTAACTATTCATTTAGTTCTTCTAGATTTTTGTCAGAGGGAGTTGTTGTTTTGACACTACTCAATCTGACATTATTGTAACTTGTAAATGGTGTCTTTAGTTGTTTATCTGCAATTTTATTGGATTCAAGTTCCATTGCCAACTGGAGACCTTATTTTAAACATATTAACCTACTTTAATTCAACCTAATTCTCATATCTTCGTCTGTTATGGCATCTATAAATTTGTCATGTGCCAATAAATCCATCATTTCATCTGGATCATCAGGGTATGATAATTAGGCTAGCCTTTCCAAATCTTTTGCACGTTTGACTAAAGTCTGTTCTTTCCCCTGTATCCTGCTATAGAACATTGGTTTGAATGCTTCCTCTTGGTGTGTCACTCCTAAACCTCTTGCATAAAGTAGTTACCAATGTTTGATAGTTGTCACATATCTCAGTTGGAAGGTTACTTAATATCATTAAGGTTGGCCCTTTTAAATGAGCAGCAAGATGAATAGCTTCTTGTTCACTATTCCACCCATTCATTTTAAAAATTATTTGAAGCTGAGCCTGATATGGCTCCTTTCCATTATAATCTAAGCTTCATTTGATTCTCGATTGGGTGATATTGTTGAACTGGGCTGCTAAATGCTAAATTGGTTTTGGTAATGTCATGGCTGTAATAGTTTGGGAAGGTCCTGCAGTAATAGATGGCACAACGGTAATGGGTATAGACAAAAAAAAAAAAAGGTTTTGCTATTCCATGATTTATAGTATATGGTGTTTTAGGTTGGAATTCTTGGTTAATGCAGAAAGAAATGTAGATAGTTTGATCTTTGTATTTATTTACCAGTTCATTTTCCAAATGTTTTATCCTGTCATTGAACTTATTTTCTATCTAATTAACCTTTTTATCATTATTACATTTTTGTATTTCCTCTTAAATTTTAATCTCTAACCTCTTTGTTTCCTGGTGGGGCAGAAATGAATCTACAGACTTACAAAATTAAAATCCGGGGTTCGATTCACTACAGTGAACTCAGCAGATAGACGGACGTGGCTTTGCTCTAAAACAAACAAGATTACCTCTTGATTATTTTTTATTTTCCTAAACATTTTCTTTTAAATTTCTGTAAATTTTTTTGGTCATTTTTGTATATTATAATTTCATACTCTTCTTTTTTGATCTTTTAATTTTCTGGTTCTTCCTTGTTGTTAATTCATTTAATTTTCTCTCTATTTATGTTTCACCCTATTTTGTTTCATTATTTTTGCAAAGTTTCGATCTCGATTCATGACCGAGTTGTCATTTTTGAAAGTTTAGTTAACATTCTATTTTATATTCACGAAAATAATCCTACTATATCAATATTGTAATGTGTTCTGTGGTTGAGCGGGATATTTTCGATTATTTGGCAAAAATAATGCATATACAGTCTACATAACGATAATGATTTAATTTATTTCTTCAATAAACATTTGCTACAGACACGTTCACTTGTAGACCTAACTTCATAAATACACGTTTCAACATAAATTCTGACACTAATATAGGCCCAATTTCAAATAAAATGTTTCAACCAAAATTATATTTGATTGATAAACACGCCGATGAGCAAAAGAATAGCAAAATAGAGGCGATAACTCTTAATACTAATACTTAAAATCTTTTTCACATTGAAGTGACTCAAATGTTGAGTCACACGTATTTACACCACATCCTTGTTTCTATATATTACACTAAACTTCGAAATTCTGAAATTTAAAAAATTTTGTAAATCATACATGTTACGTTTTCTAGCAAACATCTAAATTAAAATATTGAAAATAGAGCTTACAACAATATTGTTGCGTCAGCGATATCACGTGACTATTCTCACGCCACCTGCTTTCTAGAACTATCCTGTACCTTGGCGAATGCCCTAGCATTTACTAGGTTATTTAAAGAAATCTGTCCACAAGTCCCTGGGTTTTTGATGAGAAGCTTTGCAATGTTTTGATATTGTCCTGTTTCCACAGCTACAATTGTTTGATTTGATTTAGTAATGAAAGGTCCGAAATTGCCTCCAGCGACGCTGAAAGATGAATTGATGTGAATAGCAAGTGGACATATAGTTCCAGCAAGATGTAAGTTATCTTTTATGTAGGAAGCTTATCTACACTTTATGATGTGTATGTAATTGATATCAAGGAAGAATATTGTTACGACAGCGGAAGTCACGTAACGCTAGTAACACGTCATGAGATTCTCGAAGGATCTTGACTTTTCCTGGCAACTCTAGTCTTTTCCAGGCGCCCTCTATTTTAGTATATAAGCCCGGCATATAATTGCAGATAGATTTAGAGATAAATAATTGAGTCAAGTAAGCAGTAGA